TGAGAATTTTAAAAATTATAGTGAAATTTTAATAGTTATGTTGATTTAAAATTTAGTTGGCACAATTAAATTGAACTGGAATTTAGTTGGCACAATTAATTGAGCCAGAATTTAGCCAGAACAAAATCATTTAGCCAGGGTACAATTAATTGAGCCAGCTTGATATTAATTGAGTCGACCATCTCTACCGATAGGTGTTCAATATACCAGATTTTGACCAGTGTAAATAAAGCTTACAATGTTACTCAACAAAAAATATCAAATTTATACTTTTGTAAATACATTTTTATAAAAAAATTAATTAAATTATCTATTACACCTAGAGAAAAATGGATGAAATTTGTACATCAAAATTCTATTAAAAATAAAAGACAAAATTACTTGGGATCTATTAGGATTTACAAATTATTCACAATTGATATCAAACAAATTTATTACATACAACATATGCTTTTTAGAACTATTGCTCACTTGAATAATCAATAATTTAAGAAGTTAATAGAATTTAAAAAAAGTTATGAAGAGGACTTTGCAATTTAACAAGAGAGAAAACTGTTACTATAAATTTTCTCCATTTTATTATTTATTATTATTTTATTTCTTATTTGTTGTTTATTTTGTTAATATAATTATTTAGTATATTTTATTTATTAGTTATAATTAGTATTTATTTATTAGCATAATACAAATATGTAAATCAATAATTTAGATTATAGTGATCTAATAACTGGCCAATTTACTAACCAATTTAGTGACCAACTGATTGATCAACTTAGTAATCAACTGATTAACACAATTACTGGTCAAAATTTTAACCAACTTATTGATCAAATTAAATAATATAAAAAGGATAAATTTTCTCTTCACTCTAAGTTAAATTCAAATAATTCTAAAATAGTGAAATTTAGAAAATAATCTTAACTGTAATTAATTCTGTAATTGGATTAATATTTTTATAATCCTAAAGTAACTGGATTATTGATTTTCTTTATAATAAACTTTTATTCTCTATATTAAAACTCTGTTACTTTTTTACTAATTTATATTCTTCAAATATAAATTCTGATTAATAAACTTCTGTTATTACTTTATAAATCATTAATAAATATATTTAGCTCTTTGTTCTAATTTCTTAAATTGCCCTTTTAAATTTAACTGTTAATTAATAACTTAATTCCCATAATTATAAATTCTTAAGTCCTTTGATTAGGTTTAATATTCAACTTAAAATTATTCTTTTATTAATTTTAAATTATCTTCTTTAATTCATAAACTAAAGTAACTGTTTACAAGTTGCTAGTTGAAACTACCTTTTGGAAAACAAAATTAGCCCAAAAGGTTGACTAGTAACAATGTTCACTATAATAGTAACCACAATGTATTTTCAATTATCTCAGTTACACTTATTCTATAAGATACTGAAAAAAACATTCACTAATTTAATAGTGACCATGATGTGCTTTCAATTTTTCCAGCAGAATATATGCATAATCAGGAATATAAAGGAACAACCTACATGAAAAAAGTAAATAGGAGGTGAGTACAATTATTGCATTTACCTAATTAAAGAAAGCATGTACCCTCAATAATTAGTATATATCTTGTACACATATTCATTACTTAAGAATTACAATGAAACTGAAAGAAGAATGTTCACTATAATTGTGGCCACGATGTGCTTTCAATTCTTTCAACTACACTTATTCTGTAAGATACTGAGAAAATAACATTCACTAATTTAATAGTGGCCATGATGTGCTTTCAATTTTCCCAGCAGAATATATGCATAATCAGGGATATATAACAAGATAAAGGAACAACCTACATGAACTCAATAAATGAAACACTCACCTTTTTTTTTTGAAAGACTTGTATTTAAATTCTCAAGATTATCCAATAAGATATATAATTATCATTTTACCACGATTTTTTATTATAATAAATTAAATTATTATAAAAAAACTACCGAGGTATGGATATCCATTAAGATCTTTTAGTTATTAACTTTCCAAACTTTAGTTACCTTGTTACTGGTGCTAAGGTTATTTTTTCTGCTGTAATAACTCAATGAATATTGGGTGCTACAGGGATTTCTTACCCAAAGGATATTTAATTTTCCATTATAATACTCATATGGAATTCCTTGTATCTCAATTCTCCTTCATTTAAATGCTCACGATTTCAAAAGGCTCCTTTCCTTCTATTTTCACCGCCTTCTCCCTTGTTCCGTACCTTTTATTTCTTTGCTCTCTTCTCTTCTTTCCTTTTTCGTTTTTCTATTCCTTTCCGGAGGACGATTTCGGTAATTCTCTTTCCTCCTTTTCTATGGTTAAAAAGGACGGCGCTACAAAAAGAAGAGGAAAGAACAATAGGGGATGTAGAAAAGAGAAGAAGCTGAAGGGGAGAAGAAAAAAGGTGGGAAAAAAGAATGTTTTGTATGTTTTGTTTATTGGCTCACGGTCGGTTTGATAATTATAATTGGAAAATCTACTGTATATAATAGACACCCCTGACAACTCTAACCAAACCCCTGCGATACATTACAAGAGCCTATATACACACAGAGATATATTTCTTTACCTTCAAAATTTTTTTCTAAATCTAAGAAAATGCCTAATAACAATAATAACGACATTGATATTTTTGAAGAAATTCTTATGCTTACTGGTGATGCTGTTGAGCATCCCGAAAGTTCACAGTCCGCTCAAGCAGAAAAAAAAACAAGTAGAAAAAGAAGGTAATAACATGCTTCATGGTTTATCACGTAGAATTCGGTCATTTATTAATTTCAAATTATTTAAATACATAATAGACGTGGTGGAAATGATAGGGTTGATAATATGTATAGGGATGACGATGATAGAGACCGGTAGATAATTTTTTAGAAAATAATTCATTTACAATTAGTCAAAAAAAAAATGGATTTTTTAAGATCATCCTTTTATCATAGATTAGAAAACTTAAATGAATTGGAACGTGAGAAAATCTTATCCGAAAGAGCAGAGAAGGTATTCATAATGTTAAATAATATAATACATTAATTTAATCATCTTTCTTTTGAGAAAACTTAATTTTATTATTATTTTTTTCTTCAGAGGCAACACAATAAAGATTTGGAAGCTGTACACCTCTTGTTTAATCCAGATGATGCTAGTGGATCAACAAGAAGCAAGTCCCAAAATATATAATTCGAAAATTTTTTTTTTTGATGCCTGCTAGTCAAAAATTAAATTATTTGAATATTCTTTTCCTTATAAAGGATCCACAAGAGCTAAAGGTTCTAAGAAGAAGGGACGAGATCTTGAAGAACTCAAGCGTAGACGAGCTCAAAGAGGTCAAAGAACAATAACGGTACGGATTTTAATGAATTTAATTGATTAATTTGTTCACATTTGACACATTAGATAATTTCCTTAATCAAATTTAATTGTTAATAGGGTTCACAAAGTCCAGAACAGGGCGAACATTTATCATCTAATGAAGATGATGATGATGAACTTTATGAAGAAGAAGAGGAGGAGGAGGATAGTAATGATAAACGAAATATGCAAGATCCAGATGTATGTACAATTGTTAAAATAAGGATTTAAAATTCTTTTTTTTTTTTTAAAAATAATTTTTCAAAACATGAAATTATTAGGAAATTAAACTTGAAGATATTAAACAAGTACAATTAACGCGTCGCCATCTTGGCGAATGGATGTTTGCACCACATTTTGAAAACACAGTGGTTGGATGTTTTGTTCGATTACATATTGGAGTTTCTGAGGGTAAACAGATATATCGAGTATGTGAAATTGAAGGTAACACTTGGATTATAGTTTTTATTTTTATTTTTAATTATTTTTAGAAATTATTTATTCTTATTTTTTTTTAATTTAATACTCTTAGCCGTTGAAGAAATCAATTCAACTTATTATGTTGAAAAGTGCATCACGAATCAAGTACTTCGCCTAAGGCATGCAGATGCAGTCAAAACCTGGCATATGCATTGTATTTCTAATAGCGAATTCGATCAAGTAAGTTGTCTTCTCGCAAGTTTTATTTTATTTTATTCGGAATCTTTTAATAATATCTACATTATGTTATATTTGTAGTCAGAATTTGATCGTTGGATAAAAACTATGAAATCTCAAAACATTTCATTACCTTTAAAAGAAGAAGTTCTCCGAAAAAGAAAAGATATTCAAGATGCAAGAGGTTACGTTCTTTCCGAGGTATAATCAATTTTTTATTTATTTTTCTATTCGCAAATCTTTAATGTAAATAATTAACAATGGAATTGACAATTATTATCCAAATATTTAGCAAGATGTAGAGTCAATTGTACGAAAAAAACAATCATTGCGTGGTGGTGAACCAATTGATCTATTTACTCAAAAGACAACGTTGGTAACACAGAAAAATATGGCGGAAGCACAAGGAAATTTCAAAGAAGCCCAAGATTGCGCCGCACGACTTAACGAGATTGATAAATTAATCGGAGTAGCATCTCGTGATACCAAACAAGATACATGGGCTCGTGTAAATGAAAGAAATCGTCTAAAGAATCTTGAAGATTCTCGATTAGCAGAAGAGATAGCAAGACAGAAAAAGAAAGGTATTTTATTTAGGATAGTAACTTAGTTAATATTATACCAAAATTATATTAAATTATATTAAATTATATTAAATTATATTAAATTATATTAAATTATATTAAATTATGTTAAATTATATTAAATTATGTTAAATTATTTTAAATTATTTAAATTACTTTTTAATAGCAGAAGTAATTCCCCGAAAATCCGTCAAAACTGGATTTTATGATTCGCCATCGCATAAAGAGGAGGAAAAGTCTTATAGATTTGCGAAAGCACTTAAGGCACCATTTACTCAATACGAAGCATTGATATATGATGCAGATGTTGAACTTAAACTTCCACCCAATCCTAATTTCTCTGTAATAGATTCAGAGAATGAGATTGATTATGCTTCATTTACAATTGAGAAATCACTTTCATTAATACGTGGTTTACATCAAAATCCCGTTTTCCAACCAACAACTGATATTACCAAACCACAAGAGTTAACATCATCGCCACCACCACACGAAGAAACGAGTAATTCTCGATATCGTTCACAGCCACAACCAGAATCATCCAAAGGATCTAAACAATATAAAATCCATAAAGATCTTCATTATGGTGTATAAATTACATTATTGTGAACATTCTAAAATTTCATGTTTTGAAATAAATAACTTTTGTAAAATATTTAGTGATTTCTCTTTTAATTGTTTGTTTTGCTACTCTTTCAGCATGACGTTTTCCCTAAAGTTATATTATCGACATTGTTTTGGTCTCGTGATTTCCGACTTTGTCTCATAAAATTTCAAAATAGAAGCTTATTATGTATCGTGTTACAAATATATCTATATCAATATCCGGGAATGAATTCAAAAAGTACCGATCACTTTATTCACAATGAGATCAATATGTTTATTTGACCGAGTGAAATTTAGCTTTCCTGGGAATATGAATCCCCATGCCTTTGCTTTTGGAGATGTTGATAATGATCAGGTACGCGGTCGCGTCGAATTATGAAAACAATTGAAGCAAAATTTTTAAACAATAAATCTATTGATTGAAAACATAGGACAACGAATTCATCATAGGAAATTTAAAGGGGGAATTGGGTATATTCAAAGGAACACCTGAAAAGGGAAGACCTGTGATTACAGGTAGTAAATTAGGTACAGTAGGTATCACCTTCTCAAGATTTTAGGATTTCAATATTTTAATATTATCATTTCGACCGACTTTAACTTGGATTGTATTCACGTGATAGATTACATGCGTAGCAATTGGAGATGTTAAAAATTCTGGCAAGGTGTTTATCTTGGTATTTTATTGAATGGAAGGCAAATAATAATAATAATAATAATAATATTTGACCCTTCTATTTTTTCAGAATTCTATAGTTTGTGTCAATGCTGAAGGAGTTTGTCATATTTTTGATATTACAAATAATGATTTTGGTGATGGAAAACCACCTTCACTTAATATAAAAGGATATCCACCATTAATGGTGCCTGTTAATTGTAATCGTATATTGATTTCTGATATTGGTATGAAGAGGATAAAATTTCATAATCATCAGAAGATTATCTCATCTAATAATTATTTATTAATTGAATTAATTTCATTTTAAATTTACAAGATGGTGATGGAATGAACGAGATTATCCTCGCTCGAACTGATCGTATATTACATGTATATAATGTTGAAATGGGTTTAAATGATCAGCAACCAAACATAGAAAAATTAAATTTGAATGATTTGGTTCCACATCTTACAGAAAAAAAGAAATGGTCTTTTGATGGTCAGGTAAAATCTTTGGATAGGTTCGTTTCATTGGTTATGCGATTATTATTATTTTAAATTGATAAAAAAAAAGGAAATTTTATTCATGTAGATTACTTCTATGGCCACAGCAAAGGACCCTAAAACATCAGAACAATTATTACTTATAGGTCAACCTGGAGGTCATTTCATTATTATTGAAAAAAACGAGAAAAAAATATTTCCAACACAATTTCCCAATGATATTTCGCATTCTGATGATTTAATTGAAGTATCAACCGAAATAGTTAGTGGAATTAAATGGGAAAATGGTAATATTATTAATATCATTAAAGGGATTTTTTTTTTTTTAATAAAAACAAATGGAAATGTCATTTATCTTTATTATTTTTTTTTCTTGCATTAGAGAAATGTTCGGATATAGTCGCACTTGTTACCATGGATGGTGAATAATCTTCTACATATGAAATATCTTTCTGTTAAATTTTTTTTTCTGTTATCTCTTTCTAACTATTCTTTTTTTTAATAGGAAAATTTACCTTTTTTGATCTCCAAACATCAAAGCCGATACGACATGAATTGCAAGTCACACACAAACTTTTCGGAATGGCATCGATGGATCTTTATTCTGAAAATGACAGTGAACAAAATATTGATGATGAATTATCTTCAAATAAACGAAATGATGTTTTTGTGGCATGCGCGTGGGATGGTCATACATATGTGATTGACTATGATTTCAATGTAGTTAGATTCGAATTTGAAGGGCGAGTATGCGCATTTGCTGCCGGTAATTTATTAAATAAAGATTACATATTTCTTCAATTTTTGTTTTTATTTAAACCAAATTAAAATATTTGAACATTTTGAATATTTTTCTATAGGTCAATATGCTTTAACGAAAGGTCATAATGTTCCATGTTTCATGTATGTCGATTTCGAAGATCATATCACAGTTTATCATAATCTACATATAAATACTAAACCTGTGACAAATTTCATAGAAATTATGCGTGACCAAATTGATGAGGTATTATTCTTCTTTCTAATTATAAATGATATTTAATGTTAGCTGCATCACTGTTCAAATTACTTTCAAATAAATAGTTTGACGGATTACTTAAAGAGAATGTAAAAAATTATGAACACGGTATTTAATATTTAATCGCGATTTTTTTTTTTTTTATCTTGCATTTCTTTGTTAATTTGACATCCTATTATTTATCATCCTATTAATTTATCATTATCACATTTTAACTATATAGAAAAAAATTCTTTTTTTAAAGGGTTATATCAATCCACACCTCACATTACAGACTTTTTTCATAACTGCTTGTATAAATCAGATGATTATGAGCGCATTATGCAGGATCTTGAGAGAAAGATTAATGAAGTTAGTACAAAATAATATTTTATCATTATAAATATCAATTGGCAAAGTGAATTTTTTAAATGAATTTTTTTTTTTAGTTGAAGGAAATGAAAAAAATTGAAGAAGCTGCACAAATTGAAAGTAATAAAAATATCGAAAAGATTGAGTCATCGTCGCTATCGACATTAACAAATCCATCACCTAAAGAAAACAATGAATCCGAAGAAAAAGATTCTAATTCGACTTCTTCTGAAATTAATTCTACTTTGACTTCTTCCGAAATTAATTTTACTTTGACTTCTTCTGAAGTTGATGATTCTAATTCGACTTCTTCGACTTCTGAAATTGATAATTCTAATTTGACTTCTTCTGGAATCAAAGATTCTAATCCGATTCCTTCTGAAATCAAAGATCCTAATCCGATTCCTTCTGAAAGCAAAGATTCTAATTCGACTCTTTCTGAAAACAAAGATTCTAATTCGATTCTTTCTGAAAACAAAGATTCTAATTCGATTCTTTCTGAAAACAAAG